CTTCAGCACTTTGTCATCCCACTGCCTCCTGGCCTTTATTTTTTCTAATGAGAATTTAGCTGTTAATTGTATTGGTGTTCCTTTGTATATAAATAGTCACTTTTCTCTTGCTGCTTTCAAATTTTTCTCTTTATCTTTGCTTTTGATCATTTTTACTATGACGTGTGTGGGTGTGGATCTCTGCGTTTATCCTATTTGGTATTTGTTGAGCTTCCTGTGTGTGTAGTGTTTTTCCTCAAATTTGGGAAGTTTTCAGCCATTATTTCTTCAAATATTTTTTTCTGTTCCTCTCTCTGTCTCTTTCTCTCGATCCCTTCCCCACTCCTTCCCTCCCTCCTCAGCTTCTCTCTTTCCTCTTCTTCTTCTGGGACTCCCATTATGCATATATTGGTGTGTCTAATGGTATACTATGTTTCTCTGATGCTTTATTCATTTTTCTTCATTCTTTTTTCTCATTATTCAGCTTGCATGATCTCTACTTACCTACAAGTTCACTGAGTTTATTCTGCCAGTTCAAACCACTATCAAGTTTCTCTAGTGAACTTTTCATTTTGGTTACTGTACTTTACAATTCCAGAATATCCATTTGGTTCCTTTTTATTTGTGTCTCCTTATCAATATTTTCTTTTCGATGAGATATTGTCATCGATGAGATATCTTCCGTTACTTCTTTAAGCATGGTTTCCATTGGTTCCTTGAACAGATTTGCAATGGCTGTTTTGAAGTCTTTGTCTGTTAATTCTGACATCTGGGCTCTCTCACAGACAGTTTCTATTGCCTATTCTGTCTCCTGTGTATGAGCTATGTTTTCCTGTTTCTTTGCATGTCTCATAACATTTTGTTAAAAACTGGGCATTTATATATTGTGGGATTTCTGAACACTGATTCCAATTACTCTCCACCCCCACCTCTGGCTTGCTGTGATTGTTTTCTTTTTTATTTAATCACTTGGCTGGACTAATTTAGTGAGGTTTATTTTCCCTTCAGTGTGATGTCTCTGGTTTCATTCCTTAGAAGGTGCAGCCTTGGGCATGCACACAGTCACTTGGGGTGACAGGTTTTAACAGATCTTTCTTTCTTTTCTTACTTGCCCCTTTCCCTGGTTCTCTCTGGTAAGTTAGCTTGTTCTCTCTTGTACAATTTAGCTTGTTGCTCTTGTGGAGCTACCAGCCTCCTCTTAATTGCTAACCACCTGGTTCTCCATTGTTCTTGAGAGTGCCTTAGGCGTGGACTTCCCCTACACACTTGCAAATAATTTCCTTTGGGGAGAGCTTCAGAGTTCTCTGTCCTTATAGCCTGCTGCAGCCCAGAGGAAAAAACCTCAGACACCTTCTGGAGCTGGCAGCGGGGCCCACGGCCTGCTTCTCTAGCACTCATATGCCTGCATTATGAGCAGAGCTCAGCTTGTACTGTAGCCTCTGGTCCCCTTGACTTGCCCCTGCTGGCATGGAAACTTCACCCTTTGAGCATATTAGGGAGAAGGTGATCAGGGTCCCAGTATTCTTGGCCTGCTGCACCTGAGGTAGAGCCTCCATCCTATAGTGGGAGCTGAGTGGAGGAAGGGAGTCCTGACCTCTTGGCTGCACTTGCCTGGAGTTTAGCCTTTGCAACACAGAGGTGGAGGGCCTGAAAAGTACTGGCAGCCTCCCCTCGCTGGGAGATACATACTATAGCCCATGGTTGGGAACTGGGAGGAGAAGAAACATATATGCCACAGTCTTAACTTTCTTATGAGATTTAGATGTCCCTGAATGTTCATCTGCTGTATGCCCTTAGGACAACATGCAGATTTTAAATGTTTTTTTTTTTTTCCACCACCTACGGTAGTTACCGTGTGGAGGAGTTCAGAGCTTCTCATGCAGTCATTCCAGAAGCTGTTTACCTACTTATTGTTAATCCTGTACAGTTTGTCTCACCAAAAATAGTTTAAAACAATGAAAGTTTATTCATATCCCTTATGATGTTAAAAAATGAAACTTTTATAATCTCTAAACCCAAACTATGTATGAATTTAGAAAGAATAAAAATTCTGAAGATTTTGAGAGTTTAAAAAAATATGTATCATTCAGAAAAAAATCTCAGTAAAACCACATCCAAGGTAAAAAAAAAAAAATGTATCCAGACATGGAATTGTAAGAGAATATTACTTCAAGCAAACTACTGTAATTTTAAGGCCAAACTTATCATTGCTTTTTTGCTTGTGTATACATCAGTTTGCTTGGATATTTTTCTTTCACATCAAGGATTGCATTTTAATACACAACTATATAAAACCGTAATGTCCAGAAACACCGGTTACCATCAGCCAAGAGCAATGCTCTTCACTCACTGCTTATCCAATTCACAGGGTCCCCAATATCAGGAAGAGTAATAACCAAAGAAGCAAATCTGTTCTCTTTTTCCTTTAAATGCTATTCATAGTTGGCTATCTTCTTAAAATTCTGGAACACAGCTGGAGTTTTCTTTTTATAGATTACATGGACTTTTAGATATGTCACTTATGACTGACTTTATAAAAGCCATAGGTTGTGGGTATGTGTATGTGTGCATAATTTTTTAAATAACTAAAGATGATCAGAGAATATTACTTCAATCTAAAAAAAAAAAACCCACATCAAGTGAAACTTTCAACTGCCTTCACCATTATGGTTATACTTCTAAGAAAGGGATTACACAAATTATAGTTAAAAGAAAAAATGTCCTCATGTATTTGAATTTCCAAGCAAAAATGTTTGCTAATAACTTTAGACACAATGTTTCTTTACTGTAATGACAGAATTATTTTTAGTACACGTAACAGGTACACAACTAATAAACATTTAGATTATTTTACAAAACTTTGAAATTTCTTTAATTTGGAATTTGATAGTTCAAACTATGCAGTAGTTTAAAGCAAAGTTTATAGTTGCATTATAAACAAGTATTTTAAAAACTGGTAACAAATTCTACTCTATTCCAGAAACCCATTTTAAAGAATCTAAACAGAATTGTTTAAATGTAAATGGCATACAGAGAACAGATGTCCAGTTGTCAGGAGTATTTCACAAAGGGATTCTGCAGGGTTTGGAGGTTCAGCAAGTGTTCAGGTCCATTCTAATTCTAAAATTCTACAGTTTTCCTAGCAGTTCTATTAAGAAACAGTTATTTCTTCTATTATTGCCAAATTATATCATTCATAGATGGAAACTTTAGGATGTCACTATCGGTGCTTAAAATAAATGTCATCTTTTATACTATGGTGAAACGCACAAGGGTCTCCTCCCCACTTGTTCCAGACTGAGACCTTGTCCCTGCTGTTTCAGACTAAGTTTCACTATGATTGAAGAGGACCTATTTTAGCCTAAATGTTCTCCTTCTCTTGGCAGTCATAAACGATACAATAGACAAAATGAATTTTAACAAAATGAATTTTTAAAACATTTCAACAAATGTTCCTTTCATATTCAGAAATAAGCGCCTGTACCTCAAACTCCCTATGTTAAACATAATAAATGATTTAAATGCAAACAGTTGGTATACATGCCGCTTGCTCAGTTCTCTCCAAATAGGGATTTATGTCTCATGAAAAAAAAGTAGCTTCAGGTTAAATCATAATGCTAAGACACTAAGTAATTATGATGATCTCTTTTACAATTCAATGTTGGATTCTTGGTTCTGAGGACATGGACGCGCACACACACAGATTTTTTTTACGTGGATGACAATTTAGATTTAAGATATACACTTTGCAAAATATTTACCCGCATATTCTCCAGGAATCGTTAGAGAGATGAAATGTAAAAACAAACTACTTAGAGATTCTGTGGCTTCTAAAAACAGTGATGAGACTCACAAATAACTAGAAAAATATCCTGATTCCTTAGAGTTAGTTCTAAGTGTTATCAGATGATATAATTTCAAGTAATCATAATTTTCTATTTTCGAAATACTGGTTCATAAAAAATCGAATCTCCATGAATCAAAGTACTGGCATGGCAGTGAATTACACTGAAAATCAGGTCTACAAGACACTCTTGGACATCACCGCTGAGTACCTTTAATACAGCCTTCAAAGGTCTGTGTAGCACTTTGAAATATGAAATAATTACAGTTGGAGCAGTTACTCTAAATCTCAGTAGGTAATTCCTACAGCAGTACTTGTTTACTCAGAACTGTTTTCATTTCAAATATATGTAAACTTTCTCACAAAGTCAGAATACAACTCAGTTTGAACAGAAACCTCAGTATTTGAGTCTCCGCATTAAGTAAGATAAACATTACTTATTAGGATGCTTTTGAATGCAAATCACTACTTAAGGTAAATGGGATGTAATTTCTAACTTGTGGTAAAAGTGAAGAAATCGTTTTTTATGTGAAGCCTTGACCAAAATCAATTAGTCAAGTGCAAGATTTTCACCTTATGGAACAAGTCAAACTCTACCCACACAACACATCTGGCAGAGATCTGGATGCAGGTACACCTACAGTTGGGGACTGGATGTCCCTTAGCTCGGGGCAGTGAGAAAAAGGCAAGCCGTGGATCAGCCCCCATTGGTTATTGGTCATTACCTCACTGATAACAATGCCTACTTTGCTTACTGGAGAGTGTATCTTGCAGTGGAGACACACTTCTAATTCTATAATGCCAGACAGTGGGGGGAAAAGAAGGGTCCACTTTTTAAAAATCCATTCTTTAAAGTCTTTTAACCATTTTGATTAGGTATGGAATGACTCATTTTCTGCTCTAAAGACAACCAATCTTTTTTTTTTAAGTATTGACTTGCCAATTTATCTTTGATAAGTGATGAAGAAAGATAAATGAATCTGCTGACTTTACAAATAAGAATATGTGAATAAGAATATATATATATATATATATATATATATATATATATTCTGAGAAGTTATTGTCCCATGCTTCTGATTTAAAATGTGACTAAGTTCTCTCTCTCTAAATGAATAAACTGTTCATTTAAAATTTTAAACTTTAAACTTAAATCATCCTTAATGCACTGTTATCATTCTCTTTACTTTTTATTTTCATATCATTTCTATAAATACTCAAATTAAGAAACACAAATCCCCAATCTTGAAACCAACTTACAATGAAGCTAGTTTATAACTTTTAAAATATTTTGTTAAAATGTAAAAACCCTGAAATTACAAACAAAACATTTACAATTTTACAGTATATATCTAATTTATTCTTTTAAAAAAATATTCTGAATTGTTTTTATACAAGTGACCAAGCGTAATTTTTTTCAAATGAAACTCCTCTACGGGCTAGAAGAGGGTAGGTGGCATTGCCCCACTGAGCACCAACACAAATTTCACTCTTCATGCTGGGACTTCAACTATTTCAAAATAGTCATTTGGTAGAATCACATAACCCCTCTCGGAGACGTCGTCTTTCTCCTTCTGGAAGTGCACGACCTCCTTTAGCTTCTCCAGCTGCCGCTCCTGTCTTCTGCACCGCTGCTGTGCGGTCTTGAGCTTCTTTCTGAGCTTCTCTACTTGCTGTTCGAGCTGGTGAATCCTCTTCCTCTGGTGCATGGTGTCCTCCACAGTGTAGTTGTGGTCACAGAAAACGGAGAGGTTATCAGGGGTCTGAAGAGGAGGCATGAGTAACCCGATAGCAGCATCAACCTGGGAAACGGGGGGTGTTGAAGGAGGTCGGGGAAGCTGTTCTTGGGGCTCTGGAAGATCTTCCTTCTAAAACAAAGATGCAGAGCACGTTTCAGTTTCATGACGAAACAGTTCACAAGAACTCATCTGTGGAATTTAAGAATACTAGACTCATTTCTGTCTCCTCGGTATAGAAACATTCTAAAATGAGAAAATAGTTCAAGTTTCAATTGTACTTTTCTTTCTGAAGTAGAAATGGGATGCAAGAAACACAGAATGATTATTAAGATTTAATTAAATACTAAGCACTTAAAACTGAGGGGAAAAATACTTTGAAACTGAACTATCACTGACAAAGAAAACCCAAAACTTATCAACATGTAAGTAGGACTACAGAGTGATCTCAAAGTAAGTTATGAAGCTAGACTGAGTTTCTTAGTGTGAGGATATTTAACTTTAATAAACTGCACTTTGTATTTTTAAAAAGTATTTCACTGTGAACAGTGGTTATTTACAAGTGATGGGTTCCAGACAACATTTATTTTCTTAACACTACTCTGGATTTTCCACAGTGAACACATTAATTTTATAAACGGAAAACCACCCAATATTTTAAAACACTTATTACCTTGTCATGTGGTTCAGTACAAAGAAATATTGTGGGGACAGCATCCTCTTTCAGTAACTTGTTGTTGCACTCCCTCTTAAAGCAGTCCGGAGTAAAGTGTTCTGAGCAAATGCTGCTGTACTTGGTGGGCTTAAAGTTTTTCCTTCTGACGGCTGCCTCCCATTTTTTACAAAGACTGGGTCGAGTAAGAGGAAACCTAAGAAGATGACATAATTCAGTTTTCCAACCTTATTCAAAAAAAAAGCACACCCAGACTTTCCTGCTTAGAAAAGAACTAGCTTACATCGGTGTTAACACACCAAGGAGGAACTTGATTAAAACACCAGCCCTGCTAATCTTTTTTTTTTTTTTTTTTTTCAGTGTTTAGTTGTGTCCTTATTACCCTGCTAATTTTTTTTTTTTTTTTTTTTTTTGACAGTGTTTAGTTGTGTCCTTATTACCTTAGTTTGTTGAGAATGTACTTGTTTTGACATAGGAAACAGACTTGTGGTTGCCAAGGGTGGGAGAGGGGGAGGGATGGAGTGGGAGTTTGGGATTAGCAGATGCGAACTATTACATATAGAGAATGGATAAACAACAAGGTCCTACTGTACAGCACAGGGAACTATATTCAATATCCTGTGATAAACCATAATGGAAAAGAATATGAAAAAGAATGTATACATATGCATAACTGAATCACTTTGCTGTACAGCAGAAAATAACAGAACATTATAAATCAACTAGACTTGAATCAAGTAAATTTTTTAAAAATGTACTTCTGTTAAAATCCTATAACTAAAGTGACCACGACTAATGTAGAATATAAGTCACCCCTCCCAGCATGGTATCTTTTTTCTTCTTAAAAAGCAATATTTCTTACAGGAATCTGATTGATCACATAGCAGTTATAAGAATGTCAGATACAATGACATATACAATCTAAACAGGACAAGCTGATTAAGAATTTACATTATATAAAAATATTCTTATAAAAAGGGAGCCATGTGGATAGATGCACGCAGGTGGCAGAGTTAAGTGATGGGAGGCTGGGGTCGAGGCCCATGTGCAGTGATATTGTAAATAACCTTCACTAACAGATACAGGGATTCCACACACATCTAAATACACAAGGGTAAATTGTACGGGTCCACTGTTTATCTCAGTTTTTAATGCTTAACTTTTATACTGAAGACACTAAAAGTTTCAGGTAAAAATACATGCTATAGAGTGAATTAATTATTTTTTCACCAGTGATTTTCTGTGTATTGTAAAACAAAATTGCACATTTATAACTATGTACTGAGAAAAAGAAGCTTTTGGTTCTCTTAGAATCAGTCTGACAAATATGAATTAATCAAATTAGTCAAATCATAGTGAGAAAGAAATAAAGAAAAGTATTCATTTCGAATTACCTCTTAATCAACTGAAATATGTCCATTAGGCCCAGATAAAGGGAGCTAGGAAGAGCTTAAACTTATTGTGATTTTATTCTTCCAGGTCAAGGATTAAGTGAGCTGGGGGGATTGGAAAGAAGCCAAAAAAGGGTGTTCTGCATCTGTGTTCCACAGTTCCTCTTCCAAGTGAGGTATGTCTGAGCCTGACTCTGCTTTGCCCAGCATAGCTGTTCCCACTGCTATCAGGTAGAAGCGAGAAAAGGACTCCTAGAAGGTTCCTGCTGGAAGTGCCTCTAGAAGTACAAACATGGTAGCAATCACTGGTAAAACTCAGCACTCAGGGCCTCCAGACTCAAGGACTACAATGCAGGTTCTTTCTGAGGTCAAGATCTTTCCCATTTACTTCCCCAAACTGTTCTTTTAGATAAAGGCTTAGAGGCAGGTTAGCCCTTCTTTCGATTAAATCGACTATTTTAACAGCCAGCAGAAACTCAGTATTTCTGATGTGTGAACGTCATCCTTAACCAGTCTGCAGTGCCAATGAAGGGTCTTCCCTATGTTTAGATTCCCTCTGCCATATGTCATTAGAAATGGAGAGGTGGGAACTGAATGCCTTTGATCACATCACCATCTCCAGACCTTCTCCTTCACTTCGGAAGTCCTGGAGGTCAATTCATCAGCTTTCAGAAATTCTAATAAATCAAGAGGTAATATTAGGACATACTGAACTGAATCCTGGAAGTGAAAAGTGTTCTATCCCCTTCTCGGAAGGGGAAACATCAACACTCTCAAGATCTCTTTAAAGGGACTTGCTTGGTGGCGCAGTGGATAAGAAGAATCCGCCTGCCAATGAGGGGGACACGGGTTCGAGCCCTGGTCCGGGAAGATCCCACATGCCGCGGAGCAGCTAAGCCCGTGAGCCACAACTACTGAGCCCGTGTGCCACAACTACTGAGCCCCCGCGCCAGGCTCCGCAACAAGAGAAGCCACCGCAATGAGAAGTCCACGCATGGCAACAAAGAGCAGCACCCGTTCGCCGCAACTAGAGAAAGCCCGTGCGCAGCAACAAAGCCCCAACGCGGCCAAAAATAAAAAAAAAATTTTAATTAAAATCTTTAAAAAAAAAAAGCTCTCTCTATGCTCTAGACACTCTTATTTCTGTTCCTCTCATATTCTATCAAACCTATAAAATGCACCCACATTCCCTGTTAAAGATAAAAGGTCCCCACCCCCAAACTGTATATTTGCTTTCGCTTTTGTAATTACTTAGCTATAAATAATTTGTATGATTTACCACTATCATTTCTTTAGATATCTACTTACAGTAGTAAGTTACGGCCACATTTTCTTAACGTAGTAAAACTTGTGAACACTGAATTTGGCTGAATGAAAATGGCACCGTGCAGACATCAGACGATCACTATCATTCCGTTCTGCGGTTTTCTTCTCAAGAGAAGACCGTCCCTCCTAGGACTCCGGCCGCGGCACCTCCCAGATGAAGCAGCCCCGAGGGCGGTGGGCCGCGTTCCCTCCGAGAATGCTCTTCCCCACGCACGATACCCTGCTACTGCCCACGCTGCCGCTGTGCGCGAAACACAGCTCTTCATCTTGGCAGTACCTGAACCTTTCTGGGAAACTCACTGGTCCTTGAACGTGGGGTCCTAGAAACTGGGTCCAAAACATCCTCCCGGACGCCTGGCCAAGTCAGTCCTAACGGCCGCGACGCTGGACCACCCCACGCCCCCTCCAGCAGGGAGGGAAACGCGGGCCTTCTCCGTCGCTGCTGCAGCTTCAGCCTCCCTTCTAAAGACTCATTACCACCTGCCTACTCCGTGACCCGGGTGATGAAACCCAGTTGCCTCCGGGTCTGGAGACCTCACGACCCCCCGGGGCTCCAGGCATCGCCAGTGGGCCGCGAACCTGCCACGCCGAGCGGCGCGCGAACCTAAGAGGGAGGACAGTCCGGCGCGGCGACGCGCGCCGAGAACGCGCCACCCGGGTCGGGGCGCCGGCGGCTACTCCGGGGACGAGCCCATCGCTCCTGGCCCGGAGCGCCGACGGCGCCCCGCCCTAGCTCCGCCCCTAGCTCCGCCCCTCTCAGGTCTCGCGCGGACACGCGCCTGGCTCCGCCCCCGAGCACGGCCGCGCGCCCCCAACCCCACTAGAGGCCGGGCCCACGAGGCGCGCAGAGTACTTACTTGTGGAAAGAAACGGGCTTATCCTTGTCGTATCGGTTCTTGCAGCCGTAGGCGGAACAGGACTGCACCATCCTTCCGGTCCTCAGTTACTTAACTTCTGCCGCCCCAGCAGGCAGTTGAGGCTGCTATCGATGTCGCCGTGCTCGGCTTTGACACTCTCGCTGCTTCTGTAGTTTTGGTCAGCAGTTAGAGTGATGAGAGCCTCATTCGGAGTGACTCATGTGCTCGTTTTGTTGTTTGCATTAGCAGAAGGACCACAGCCATCGCCCGTCTCCCATCTCCAAAATGGCGGAGGCAGCTTCAACCTCACCTCTCGCGATGAGTTCGTCCTACTGTCTCTGATTAGCCCTGAGGTCAGAGGTAACGTTCCCTGGGACGCAGGCCATTGGCTGAGGCCCGGCGTGTCGCGCGGTGAGCTCGGCGTTGCGCAAGTGGGCGGGGCCTCCGAGCTTCCGGAAGGAAGAAGGATCTGCCTGGGGGGAGGGGAGGGGGAGTGCGCGGGAGCCAAGGGCCGGTTCCGCCCCTACGGTGCTTTGCTGGGTTACTTATACGGGACGGTGTAGGGTGGAGAGCTAGACGGTCTGTTGGGTCCGCTGGGCTCAAGCAGGGCAGGTGTAAATCTGAGGCCGTTGGGCAGTTGCGCTCGTTTCTCTGAAAGCGCGGCCACAGATGGCGTGATTCCTAGAACTAGGTGGACTCCTCCTCTCCCAGCCCGCTGGCCTCCATCGCCTTACCTGCCTCTTCAGGTATCGCGAGGCTCTGAGGAGCCCAGGCCCCGGCGCCTAGCAGCGAAGGCGGACGCCAGCACGCAGCCGGCGGGCCGAGGCTGTTGGCTGCTGTAGCGATCTCAGTTAGCCATCCCCAGGTGCTGCGTCGGGAATCGCCAACAGCTGACGTGCCTTTCAATCGGAGGGAGGTTTTGCCTCTTCCGTGGGTGCCGGTAATCTCGTGGCTCGTGATGAAGTGAGCAAGACTAGTATAGCCCCCGTGTTCATAGCGCTTATGTTCTACTGAGGGGAAGGCGGACAATAAAAAATACAAAGAGAATCGCACTGTGCGAAGATGCCCGAATACGTTAGAACGCTGGAAGGGTGAATGGGGGCGGAGGAGAGGTCACCGCCTACTGTCTGAGAAGGGGGCCGTTGAATCTGAGAACCAGAGGAAGGGAAAAACATGTAGCGGTGTAAAGAAGGAAGGTGGGCAGGGGAGAGCGTTCCTGGCCCAAGGAGTGTGTGCTACGACCCTGAGGCAGGAAGGAGTTGTGTCTTTTCTGGGAGCTGAATGGAGGCTGTGTGGTCGAGCCCATGAGCCAGGGAAGGAGGGCATGAAGTGAGGTTGAAGAGCAGCAAGTTGTTGGTGTGGATGTTAGCGCAGTGGGAAGCCGCTCAGCCATTTAAACATTTTGAAAAAGTCATTCTGGCTGTTAAAGGAAGAGTTTATCAGTGAGGGGCAACAGCGAAAGTGAGCCGACAAACTAAGGGGCTGTTTCAGGCAAGCAAGAGGTTGGCAGCTTTGGACTGAGGTGGTGGCAGCAGAGAGACGTGTAAGGGGCAGAAGCACCAGAACTTGCTGATGGTTGGAAACGAGAATGAGGAGGAAAAGGATCAAGATATCGGGGGTGACTTGAGCGTGAGTTTCTGGCTGGAGCACTTAAGATAAATGGACGGTGGTGCCTTTTACTGAGATGCTGATGGCCTTAAAAAAAAAAACAAAAAACTATGTTCCCCAACAGGATAGAGGCCTTGGAGGGGTGGGAGTGATTCCGGAAGCTTTGGGGTTGTAGGACTGAGGAATGTCAGAAGTGAAAGAAAGTATAAATAGTTCTGAGGTTGGGAATGCAGGCTACTAAAGAAGCGTGGAAGCTCCGCAGCCAGTCCAGGGTGCCGTTTTGAGGCTTGTGATCCGGTCATTTCAGTCGTTTGGTTGGATTTCCCTCAGCCAAGTTCTGTTCTCCCCTCCCCTTCTATCTTCTAGCTATCCATAACTTGGAAATGAAATAAACATTTTTATTATTTGTTGACTATTATCCTAATGTTTCCTTACTTCAAAATGGTAAATTTACTGGTAAGGTGAATTGAATGTAATTAAAATATATATATTACTGAACTGAACTGAAGGTTGTATTTTTCTTTGTAGAAAACAGTCCCCCGAACTAAATTTTCACAGTGTGGTCTGCAAATCAATTTATTTGGTTAATAGAAAAATAATTTTCACTACCTCTAAACGAACCTGCACCCATCATTGGCTTCTCCTTTTCCCATTTCTTAACATTTCCTAAGGCTGGAATAACTGTTCCTTACTTGTCAAGGGGTGACTTCAAGGAAGCCTTTTTACTTTTCAAAGATGATTGTCTGCTTTTTAAAAATGTTGATGGAAGCAACCCAAACGTCCATTAATAGTTGAGTAAGTTTTGGTACAGTCATACAGTGGAATACTATACAGCAATTAAAATAAAGCAGTTCCACAATCTGGATGATTCTTAACAAACATAATGTTGAAGAAGTCAGACACAAAAGAAATACACTATATGATTCTGTTTTTTGTAGAGTAAAAAAAAAAAAGTAGGTAAAACTAAAGTCAGAAGAGGCTACTTTTGGGGAGAGAGGCAATGAAGGGGGGCTTATGGGATGATGGTAATGCATCTTTTGACCAAAGTGATGGTTAAACAGTGTGTTCACTTTATGATAATTCATCATCTGACCTCTATAAGATGTTTGGTATTTGTTCTACTTTAATAAAATAGCTTATTAAGCAAACAAGGGCCACACAAGATAGGCAAAACTGCCATTTTTTTTTTAGAGAATGAGAGAGATGTTTATATGCTCTTATGATCTCTTCATCTGACCACTTCAGTAAATATCGAAAGTGAATATATGTGTAGCTTTATATGACCATTTAAGGGAAAGGGAATAAATAGGGATGAACTGAAGGATAGTTAGAAGTTTGATGTTCTTCAGAGTCTTAAGAAGCCAGGAGCTAATTCATTTACTAATAGAACACTTTTTAGGGAAAG